GGTCCATCCATCAAATCCACATTTCACCAGTGTTGAATGCTTTACACAAGTCCTGGTAGATGATGCCAGTTGCCCTTCCTTTATCCACCGAAGCTGTAACTCCATCATAAAAGGTCACCAAATTGGTGAGGCCCAATTTGCCCTTGGTGAAGCCACGTTGGTTACTACTGATCGCTGCATCCTCGCTCTCCCTGTGCCTTAGGAGACCCTTCAGGAAGATCTGCTCCATGACCTTGCCAGGCACAGAGGTGAGACTGACTGGCCAATAGTTTCCTGGGTCTTTCTTTTCGCCCTTTTTGAAAATGGGGGTTATGTTTCCCCTTTTCCAGTCATCAGGAACTTCACCAGACTGCCATGACCTTTCAAATAAGATGGATGTCAGTTTGGCAACTTCATCCTCCAGTTCTCCCATGACCCACAGATGGATGTCATCAGGTCCCATGGACTTGTGCACCTTCAGGTTCTTTGGGTGGTCTGGAACCTGATCTTTGCTTACAGTGGTCGGATTTCCCTTCCCCCAGTCCCTACCTTTGCCTTCTGTGACTTGGGCAGTGTGGCTAGAGCCCTTGCCAGTGAAGACCGAGGCAAAGAAGTCGTTGAGCACCTCAAGCCTTCTCTGTATCCTTTGTGACCAGTTCTCCATTTTTCTTCCAGAGAGTGTCCATCTTCCTTGGCTCCAGATGGAATTGGTTGTCTTACAGTTGATGCTATGAACAACGAACTGTCTACTGCAGGTTGCCATGCCAGACTTCTGTGGCACTGCCAAACCCGGCCCATTAAAAGTCACAAGGGCATGTGTGGCATGTGAATATGGGTTTATGCTGGTAGTACCATCTCTCATGCCTCCAGGGCTTGTATTCTTGCTCCACTTCCTCACTTCTGCTTGACAGCTCTCAGAAGCAGATATATTAGGTGTTCTATGTTTGAAATAAACAAACAAACAAAGAGTAACTTTTGCAATACATATTATACCTCCATTCTAATATGAAGAGTCAAATAAAGAGCTATGTAGCTTGTACTGTAGGAGTACAACCTGAAGGAGTGAGCTGGGTGTGTTAACAACTCAAACCATACCTATCACTACCATAGTTGTCATCAGAATTGAGCTCTCTGTCATCCCTGCCAGATCACAAGAGTGATAAAAAACCAGACAGTTCTGATTTGCATTTTCCATCTCAGTTTTGATCTTTGTGGTTTGCTTGGCTGGTGTTTTCAAGTGTTTCTCTGTAGCCACTGGAGTTAGAAATGTAAGGAATTTTGAAAGTGGAGTTTCTCCCAAGACAGTTGGAGCTGCTGCTTCACAAAAATCCTGCTAATGCACTGCCAGCCCACCATCACCTCCCACATTAGCCTTTTTCCCACATTATTCACATGGCTTGTTGCTCACGTGAGGGTTTGTATTGTGTATAGGCACACAAAATACGTATAATCTTGAAAACCCACAGATGTGGTCTTCTGATATAGCTGCATATGGGACTTTGGGACTGCAGCTTTTGGGGGTTTCCGTGTTGGGAGGACCTGACCTTTGCTTTTCCTGCAAGGCTGTAGGAGCTGTGGGATTGGTTTCTGTTGGTTTCTTGGAAAGGCAAAGATATCTGTGGTCTTTGGCTGGATCTTAAGTCCTGGGGTACTGAAGTTTGACCTAATAATTTAGGACACAGAGAAGGGTAGAATTTAAATAAACTATCTGGTTTTGAACATTCCAGAACTATTAATTATTAAAATTTATGCAAATCCAGGGAGGTGCATGGCATGTAACACACCATACCTAGAAACAGGTGAGCTTACATGTAAAGGTTTCTTTTTTTTCTGAAAATACATCATCTCCTGTGACCACAATAGAGCTAGTACTTTTCTTATGAATAGTGAATGTTTTATAATTACATGCAGTCCTAAATCTGTTTCCTATTATTGAGAGTCACAAAGGTTTTTGGAGAGGGTTTGTGGGTTGTTGTTCTTTTCTAGAATGATTTCCTCAGCCTTTTTGGCAGAGTATTAACTGTGGCTAAAATATGTTTCAGTGTGAAAATGTTACAGTCTAATGAGCAACTTAGCTCTTGTGGCAGTTTCTTGTTTTGATATAAGAGGTTCTGGGTCAGGAACTGCCCCTTTGATCTTTAATCTGTCTCCAAGTAGAGTTATATGCCAGTACTTTTTATGCTAGCCTTTCAGATTCATGTGATAGAAACACTACAGTCACTGCAGGTCAAAGGAGCCCAAATTAATGAAATTTCACATGCCCTCGTAAGCAATATTGTCACTTCCTGCTAAACTATCACCATGTAAGGAAATTCACCGTCTCTGAACATCATGGTTGAAGCTGCTTCAGGTTTGTCCAGGTTGCATTACAGCATTATTGCTTTTCTTTTGCCCCAGGTGAACTGTGTGATGAGGTGATTAACCACTGTGTTCCTGATCTAAATCCATGCCAACACGAGTCCAAGTGTCTTCCCCTTGACAAAGGAACCAGGTAAGGGGTGTGTATATTGGTCTACACGCACTGGGCAGATCCATCCATTTGCTTGACTAGGGTTGAACTGGCAATGAGTTTGGGGTAAAAATCATCAAAATTAATGCAAATAGTGCAAGACTGTATATACTTCGGGCCATGTCAGATTTTAATTTTAATGCAACCATACATACTTTTCTAGCTTCTGTGGTTTACTCAGAAGTAATAGATGTAGCCCCAGAGCAAAGAAATTATTCTGGAATAGAGCAAAAGGAGTACTTCTGAAACAGGTACTGCAAAGTATCTTACTCTGCCTCAGAAACTAAGGACAGTTTCCATATGTGTTCCTTAGGGCATCCATCAATTCAAGCAGCATAACAGGAGCCCTAACAGATGTAACTCAGCCCCCCTCAGCCCATGCTGGCTCAGAGTTCCAAATCCAGTCCCCATTTTGACTACTGAGAAGGGAAAGATAAACTTGTCATTATAGCATAAAGCTGCAGGTCAGGAGTTTTCTGTTGTATTTCCACTTTAGCTGTTGCTTGCCAGGACAGTTGGCAGCCTTGGGGTACATGAGTAAAGGCCAGCCAGCCATAGTGCAGCTCCTCTCCTCGCACTTCCTCACCTGGGCAACAGCAGAAAGTGGCTGAACTGGACGGCTCTCACTCAGGAGCTGCCTTCTCCTGCTGGTTGTAGAGGCGAGTCGTGCTTGGCTCCTGTTAGATTTGTGAAACCTCCTGTGTTTGTATTTGTGTATTGGGAACGGCACTGACTGTTTCACAGGGGTAAAGGAAACCTTCATGTCTCACATGGCAGTTAAGTATCTGGAGCTTTGAGAGTTGGGATGTTTTGAGAGGTACAGAGTAGCAGCATTCATCACTTCTCTGAACAGGGAATTTCAGAGAAATTTAGCAAGTAGAGACAGTCAACTGAAAAACCAAGCTCTATAGAAAGCTTGTCAAGAAAAGATCTTTGACCCAAAGATGTAAGAAAGAGGGAAAAATTCAAAAGAGTTCAGTGCAGTGTGAGCTGCACTCTGCACTTCACACTAAGCCTGTTTTCAGAGGTGCGTGGCAATCCCGAGAGATCTCCCATTTCCTCCTGGGAGGGCAGGCTGGGGTTCTGGGGAGGGATGGCCTCACCAAGCACACCCAGCATCCTGCAGGGAAGCGACAGGAGCACTCTTTGATCTTCCTGGTAACTTGCAGTTGGTGTCAGATTGTGTCCCGTGAAGCAACCGGCATGTCAGAACAGTGTAAATACACAGAACATTTCAGGATAGTTCAAAGGAAGCAAAGAAACTTTTAGAGATGCTGGGCATCTTGAGGGCAGCTGAACCTGTGCTTGACAGGACTTGGATAACGAGGTGTGTACCAGTATGTAAATCCTCGATGTTCTTTCCAGTGTTCATTCCTAATTAAACCATCATTCACCTAATCCAGTAGTTACATCATGTTAGAAGGTTTATAACTCAAATTACCTAATGTTGCTAGATGTATGAAGGGATGGAGGCAGCTGGTGGAGGCTGCTGAATGTTTTTACCCTTGCTGGAAGCATTTTCATATGTGCCACTCAAATAATTTTAGCAAATAAGACACTTCTGCTTGCTTGCTTGCTGGAAAAGTGTTTTTCACAATGAGGCCATTAACTCTTGAGGGAGGCCTAAATAACTGTAAGTATTTTCTACTATTTTCTATTTCCTAGCATTATTCTTCCCACTTTTCATAATGCTACACAAAAATCCAGACTTTCTGTACTTTTTCTGTCTAATTTTGTTTTCTAGCAGGCCAGACTTGAGAGGTGAAGGAGCCTGCCCAGCCTTAAACATAGTTTGGTTCAAGTATTGTTTTTTCTTTCATACTTTAGTTGCACCAGACCACTCAGAAGTGGGCTGAGAGCCCTAGCAGCTTTTACAGTGCTGTGTGTTTCCTGCTGGGTGTCACTGAACACAACAGCCCCCAGTCCTGTGCTGTTGCTGCTCCCTTTAGCAGTTTGCTCCCTCGACCTCTGATGTGCCATACATTTGTCCATCATGGGGCAGTACAATGCCACCTGTGGAATGAGTCAGACTCATGCACCAGTCCTCTGTTCTGCTTGCAGAGGTGGAGAATGTTAATGGCAGGGTTCAGGCGTGTTCCCAAGCTGCCCATCCACTTATCTGACTGCTGCCCTGGGCACACCGATGAAGGATATCATAGCAGCAAGGACACTAGTCTGTCTGTCCTGCCTTCAGCTCTGGTTGGTCTGCAACTCTGTAAAGCGACGGAAAGATGACAAAGACAGGAAAAAAATAGGAAACCAAGTTATTTATTGATATGGGTAGGGAAATTCCATTCTGGCCCTGCAATAAAAGCCATGATTCATGTCTTTAATACAAGAGACATTGAGTACTTGCAGATGCCAATCCCGTCGGATAGGCCAACATTTTAAATACCACTAGTGTCATGGTTTAGGCCTAGTGTGTAATGAGCACCACGATGCCCCAAAAAGGGGCTAGTCAAAATAAGGACTGAGAGAGCGTCTCACCACTTAAAAAAGTCACAGGAAAAAGACAGATTCATCATAAGGAATAAAAAAAAAACAAAACAATTTTGTTACCAACATCAGAGTAGAACAATGGGAGATACAACCAGATCTTAAAATCAAAACACCTTCCTCCCACCCTTCCATTCTTCCCGGGCTCAGCCTTGTTCCCAGTTTCTTCACCTCCCCGCTGTGCCCTGAGGCGCAGGGGCATGAGAGAGGGGGTTGCTGTCGGTTCGTGCCATTCTTTCTTCAGGAGTAGGGAGGACTCTGCCCAGCCTCTCTTTCCTTCCACGTGGTACCCTTCTCACAGGAGAAAACATCCTCAGAAGTCCAATGCGGGTCTGCCCACAGCTGCACTTTCCCTCACACACAAAACTGCTTCAGCCCAAGTCCACAAAGCTCCAATCTGGGTCTGCCCACGGTCACAGTTCCCTCACACGCGAACTGCTCCAGCACACACTGCCCAGAGTCACAGCTTCTTCAGGGGCAGCCACTGCTCATGTGGCCCTGCCCCACTGGTGAACTCTACGGGCTGCAGGCAGTCGACCCGGCTCTCGCCATGGGTTGCAAAAGGGGAACCTGGGCTCTGTGTCCTACTCCTCCTCCCTCTCCTTTCTTTCCTTCAACTGACCTTGGTGTTCCTCGAAGTTGTTCTCAGGTCTCACTCCTTTCTCCGCTGCAGGTCTCTTCTGATGGTTCTGAAGAGTTCCCGTCTCTCTCTCTCTCTTTTTGGGCTGGAGCTGCAGTGGGGCTTAAGCTTAAGTTGCGGTCAGGCCAGCAGCACACTGGTTGGGGTCAGTGTGAGAGAGAGAGAGAAAGAACTTGCTCTGCACCCCCCTTAAATCCATGAATTCACAGGGGCACTGATTGACCTGGCCCTGGTCAGAGGTGGGTCTGATAAAGGAAAAGGGAGAGCTTTTCAGGTAGCTTCTTAAAAGGCCATCTCCATAGCCCTTCCCCCATTACCAAAGACAACCAAAAACTCCTCGCAGAAAACCCAATACACACTAGACATGTTTTTAGGCTCTCTCTGATGCTGAGAATGTTGCCATCACTACAAGACTGAAGCAGACAAAATTTCAACTGTACTGGTGTCAGATGGTCACTAGGAAATGAGATAACTGAGCTAATTGTGTAAATAACTCTCTTACCACAACTTGAATATGAAAGCTTCTTTTCCTGCTCCTTTACTTTGTCTCCTCCATACTTTTACTGATGCTTAGTCACTGGGGGCACTATGTGGGATGGGGATGGAGTTAATGGGCCATCATTCCCTGTGGGGAGACCTTGGGTTTCTAGGAGGAGGCTGGGTGAGGCGTGGGGGCTGAGTTTCTCTCCTGCTATGCTCCAGGCACACATTTTTTGGAAGCTTCAGCCTAGATGTGACACGCTATGAGCTCAGACATGACTGCCCCAAAAGGAATTCCGTGTTTCTAAGAGGAAAGCCAAGCTTGGAAGCAAACTGCGCTATTTCAGTATGTGCTTGACTGCACAGAGCTCTTTGCTTTCTAAGCTAAAATTGCAGGTGGCTTTTCTCACTTCCAGCCTTCACATCTTTATTGTGGTATTACTATAGAAGAAGAGTAGCTTTCTGTATGCCAGAAAATAAAAGTCATCCGAAAAATACCATTTAACACAATGAATGAAATTACTTCTAAAAAAAATACCTTCAGGAAAGGAGCGTGTTTTTCCATTCACTATCTTGGTCTTGGAGCATGATATAAATATACTTTATTATTCTAAAGGTTGGTATTATTACCTGACAGCTTAAAACACTGATTTAATGCAGCCCTGCAGAGAAAAGTGGTAGCTCTATCGTTACTGAGATAGCCAGTACACATAAAATTGATGCATGGCAGCCCTGAATAAGGAACTGCACATAGTTCATTACTACATCACTTTATGTTAGAACTGCAGGGATCAATAAAAAGCAGCAAGATTAAATGTTGCCAGTTCCCCCCACAGTCTATTGATTGACATTATTTGCTTGCAAGTGTGACTAAAATGTTGCCAAAATATGCTGCACGCTTCTTACAGTTTGGGGAATGAAGGCTTTTTGCTCTGTTTTGTCATCTCCGTTATGTTGATCACGGTATTCCCTGAGCCACCAAGGTGTAAGAAAGTATTTCAGGCATGCAGAGCTGGAACATCAACCATCCTGTGGTTGTGTAGGGTTGTGATGGAGGCTTCTCCAGTGGGGAGGATGGAGAAGGAAAGTATATGCATCTACATAATGTTCTGCATCCAACACTTGCAGGTTAATAGGCTTTGCCCGATTTTCTCCTTTCTTTAGCCAGTCACAAGCCAATAACTGGAGACTGAAGGTCACATTCTGCTCAGTGCTTGAGCTAGGTGGTCACTGAGGTCCTCATGCTGTGGTAGCTGTTCACTGGTCGTTAACAGGACCTACTGTTCTGCTCTGGCAGGTTACCCCCACCTCGCTGCCGTGCCCTGAGGAACCAGGGTGCAGCCAGGGCCCAAAACATGCTGTCACTTGGACCTGAATTCAGCACAATGACTGCTGCCTGGAAAGTGGAAATCTCTCTTCTCCTCAGTTCCCATGCATCCAGTTCCTCTGAAGAGTTTTTCCACAAGGAGCCTCCTCCTGCACTTACCCCACCAGGCTTCTGGCAGGGAGGAGGAGGAGGCCAGCAGGATAGGTTGGTGGAGCAGTAGTTTCTCTTCTGCCTCCCTCAACTTTATGATGTCTCTCCTCTTCCAGCTCTCAGTGGCAAGCACACTGGGTCCAAACAAGGGGCTCTAGCAAGAGCACAGACCTCTTTTTATTGCTGAAGTTCACTGTAGCTCTCCTCTTGTTCTGGTTTAGTGATCTGCCTTTTGTTTTCCAGATGTGCAGTAACATCCAGCTGGCAGGAGTAAAATGTGTTTTATGGACTAAAGCGTGTTCATGACTAAACATTGTCTACACTATAGAGTCAAAAAGAGGCTGTTCAGCAATCCCAAAAGATCTGTTCCAAGTCAGAAACTTTGGGATGCATTTTCTGTTGTCAGGTTGTAAATTTCTAGAATAGAAATGCTGATGCAGCCTTCATACAGCAAACTCGAGGATTGTGTGTAAAATGAAAAGCTAATGTCTGGAGGTTTGAGTGTATCCCATTGTGTTGCTCCCATGAATGGCATTACCCCGTAGGAGCAGGTACATGCTTCACCTGAGTGTCACCGTGGGAAAAGACAGGCTTCAAAGACAACTTTCTGCAGTTGCAGCAACATTTGCTATGCCTTGCAAATGGATGACAAACAGGTAGTGGTCTCAAAAGTGATGGGTCAGAACATTGCCCTTTCAGACTATAAGGTTAGGAAAGATGTTGTCATCTTTAGCATCATCGGGACACTACTGTGTAATCCCCCTTCTCCATAGACGTGTCTGAGGAAAAGCAATAGTGTGGTATTGCTTTGCTCAGCTTGAATTTAAGTAGATCACAGAACTTCAGCTGCAGACAGACAGGAGATAATCGAGCATTTCTGATGGCAGGGATTGTGCTTTATGTTTCCAAGAATAATTGCTAACAACTTTCCCTCTCAAATCTGATTGGTGCTAGACTACCTGTGTGTGTGCGTGCTGTGGTTGGGAATGCTGAAACAAGCTTTTAACAGCGATTTTCTTGTATTTCAGATGTGAGTGCTTGCCAGGTTACAGTGGAAAACACTGTGAAATAGATAATGATGACTGTGTGGGCCATAAGTGTCACCATGGAGCTGTCTGCGTCGACGCAGTCAATGGCTACACCTGCATCTGTCCGCAGGGTTTCAGGTACGTGCAAGCCAGGTTCTCCTCTGGACTGTCTTAGAGTAGCTAATCAGCCTCTCTGCAGCCTCTCTATTGGTCTGTCTTTGTGACATGAATGGATGCCTCAGTGCTTCAAATCTTGTAGCTGAAGTAGGTCTTAACAAGTAAACTGAATGCAGGGGTTTGGTGATTCTTGGTTTGAAAACAGCAATTTGCCTTTTGTGCAGCGCTATGTTAGTTTGCCTGCCTGCCCCAGTCTTTCCTGGTAAAACACTAGGTAATGCCGTGACAGAAATATTATGGAGATAAACTATGTGTGTGAGAGTGAGAAAAGGCTAATAAAATTGCATGTATGATCCCTCACACCTGACTGCAAGAAAACACGAGTCTGAGGAGTTCGTGCCAGTATCTCTGTGCCTGTTGGTGGGCTCTGTACGATTTGGGCTGTAAGTTTCAAGTCTCTGAATCTGACAGCTGCCAATATATTTGACTCCTGGAAATCTCACTGTCTGTTGCAGATAAGTGTGCTGCTCCAAATGGATTCACTAATCATTGTCTGAGGCTAGATACTGGGTTCCTTCCAGCAAAACCTTTTCTGTGTTTGAGATACACCCATGAGACAAAAAAGCAGTACCTGAAAAGATCAGTCTTGACAAAGCAGAAATTGCGTGAACACTTATGAATAATTTTCTCTGCTTTGTATCTGCAACTGTTTTCATTCTTCTTACTTTCATCTGTGTTGGTTTTGGGGGGGTTTCCCCCCTTCTCAACACACATTTTTATTGCAAAGCAGACTTCCCTGAATAGACACTGATATATAACATGGTGTCAGCTCATGGTTTCACAGAGTCAGACAGGATATCAGATAGCCTCTGAATTTCAAATTCATACCCTTTTCTTCATGTTTTGTTCTCTGCTTCAGTCCTTTCAGTCCAGTTTTTGATGGCCTTAGGGATCTTGCAAACGAGTGCCTGGCAAGGATAACGATTGGCTGTCCCACAGTGGACTTGTAAATGCTCAATGTTATCTAATGGTTAGAGTTGAGAAATGGGATTGCAAGCCATATCTGGAGTGAAGGTAACTCGGGCCTGTCATAGATGACAGTGACTGGGAGACTTCTGCTGCAGATCCCTTTAAGGCATGTCAGTAGTAGGCAGTGACAAAGCTGAGGTTTTTTTGCAGGCAGCCAGGGTGACAGTGTTTGGCAGAGATGTTTTGGGTTGTGATACAGTTAAGCAGAGCAGCAGGGGTAGGTGGGAGACTGGCCTGGCTCCCTCCCTGTATACCCAGCAGCTTGACTGGCCATTCGGGCAGTGCACCAGGTTGGCCAATCTCACACCAGGGACTTCAAGAGCAGAACCTGGAACATTCCGGCCTGCTCCCTGACTCAAATGAGGGGGTTTAATTCCACTAAAAGTCCTCTGAGAAGAGGAAACATCTTTCCACGCAACACTCCAAAACTCTACAGCAGCCTAGACAGCAGTTCAGAGCCCAAGGTAGGTGAGCGAAGTAATCCCACTGCTTGGCAACAGCAGAGCCAACATTAACTTGAAGTCTCCTGCTTGCTTGCTTTTTTTTTTATTTTGCACTAGTCTGTGCTACCTTCCTAAATTTTTTGTGCAAGATGCAAGGGAGCAAGAGTCTTTCAGTAGTCAAACATTGCAGTGGACATTAACAGGCTCCCACTGTCAAGATGGAGAGCAAGCTGAATCCTCTTGCATGCTCTGTGCAGAACAGTCCCTGATCATCTTTGATTTCAGGATTAGAACTCTGCTAACAAAACGTGATCTGCTCGTTATTCTTTCTGTGACTCCAGCCTTTTGTAGTTTAAAGGCCTGCTGCTCTGAAGGGGGTTCCGATTTTTTTTTCCCTCTTAAGATTGTGATTGCAAAGACAGTGATTGACAGAGCTCAGCCTTCTAGTGTTCAGGTTAGAGAGCATGCCTCAGGCACTGTGCGGCAAGGAAATAACTTGTTGATGAAAAGGAGGGAACACAAGGGGTGGTCTGACAAATGTAATGAGGAGAACTAAGGTGATGATTAATAGTCTTTTGGCTAAGTATTGAGAATTATTTCCCAGCAGTGTGCAGAGTGACCTCCCAGTTGTCTGGGCTTGTGCTGTTGTAATAAATGCATGTCCCTATAGTAATTTTATGGTTGTCACTATGCTGTACGTCAAAGCCACTTGGAGTCACAGATTAACAAGTATATTAAAGCCTACAGCCTTGAATAAACAGCATTCTGGTAGTTCTTAGCAGTGTGGGGCCTCATGTGCCCAATCATAGAATCATAGAATTATTTAGGTTGGAAGGGACCTTAAAGCTCATCCAGTCCAACCTTCCTGCCATGGGCAGGGACACCTCCCACTAGGCCAGGTTGCCCAAAGCCCTGTCCAACCTGGCCTTGAACACTTCCAGGAAGGTGACGCACCTCTGAGGACAGCGCCAAAAAGCAATTGTACCATGATGCACACAAATGTTTTCCCATCTCAGTGTTTCCTATTCACTGTTTATGGGTAGCTGTGCTCCACGTAGCACCTTTCCTTATCACTTGGCAACCTTTTCCAATTGCGTAATACACTTTCTTCCTGAAAAGTTTTCAGTGTTTTCTTCCCAAAATAACATTCGCTTACCCCCAGTAGATTATAACATTTTTGAGAATTTGTGAACTCCATTGGCTAAAACCTAACTTATCAAACCTTCCCTCTAGCAATCAGCCTCACAGTAGTGTTGTCCTGATAAACGTTGCTCTCGTGGTGAAGCACACATTAAGGCTGCTGAGCTTGGTAGAAAGCACAGCTCCGCCATTGTTTAGATGCTTCAGAGTTCCCCACTGGGATAATTTGCTCCAAGAAACTCAGCATTGGTTATTTAAATAAATGAGATCATACCAGACAGAATGGACTTGGCCAGGCCATGCAAGTCAGGCTGTGCTTCACACTCCACTGCTGGGGAAATAAATAGTATTAATAATTTCTAAAAATACTTAATTTTTTTTAAAAAAACAAGAAAATACCTTGACAGATACAATTACTAGTGTACTTTCTAGATGCCAGGGGCAGGGCAGCTGCACTTGCAAAGCCACCCACTGAAGGGTTTTCACAGCAAGGAAGGGTTGTGCAGGAGCTGTACTGGGAGCTCAGGGAATCTTTCAGAGCAGCACCGAGCACAGACACACTGGCTCCTTACAACATTTGCTTTCTGTTAATGGATGCTGTTGCGAATTGCATGGATTTTCTATTATCATTTTTAACTTCCATGAAATTAGAATTATGTACACTGACTTTCCTTCTGCTTTCTAGTTGTCAGACAAAACAAAATGACAAAGCTGATGGGCTGGGTTAGCAATGCTTCTTTCTGCTTGTCATCTTTGGAAAACAAATGACACGTGACATCAGGGCAGGGGTGAGGGTAACAGTCATCTGCGGGGCCAGCCCTCGTATGCTCCCATTACTGGCTTTCCTGACATGTTTGCCAGCCAGCCACAAAGCCCTGCACCGGAGAGAGCTCACACACTTAATGAAGCCAGGCTTTGAAGAGAAAAGTCCGCTTTAGTGCCTGGCCAGCAGCAGGGACGTGGGCCTGATGTCCCCTCAGCTCATCAGCACTGCCTGGGTCTGGCTGCTGTGCTGGGAGGCAGCTACTGCAGTAACTGCCTTAAATTGGCAAGAATTGCTTTCTGAGCATCTGTCTTCCTGTGAGGTCATTGCTGTTTTTTTTAGTTTTCCCTTGTTTTCTTGAAAAGAGGAATCCAGGTCATCTCCTGCTGAGAGGTGTTGTGCCCCCATGGTACTGCACTCAGCATCCAGGCACAGGGAGTGGGGCAGGTTTGCAGAGCTCTGCCAAGAAGCTGCAGCAAAGGGTCCGGAAGGGCAAGTCTCTTAGTCTATAACTAAATCATAGCTTAGGTGTGTTCACAAAGAAATGTTCCCAAGAACAGATTTACTTTGAGAAATGTATCAAACTGAGCAAAGGCAATTATTGCCCCTGTGCAGTTACTCCCCCATTCTGTACTACCTGCCCTACTCCCATTTCCACTGCTGACCAGTGGGCTGAGCCTGTTCATCTCCTCCAGGTACGCCTTGGAGCAAAGTAAATGGGCTTTATTGATTGCCAGCAGTATTCCCTGCCAGATTACACTTTTGAGATACATTTGTTTAAAATAATAGTTTGGCTTGTCCCTATGCAAGATTATGCTCTTCTGGTAGAGGGTATTTCCCACTTGGTTGACAGGAAGCGGTTTGCTCGCCTGCCTCAAGCTCTTTGCTGATAATATTAGCAGCCGATAACTGTGCCCACTTACAGCACTGTCACCAGGGCAGAGAGGGGCGATAAGGGGTCCCAATTTTCCACAGCTCCCTACCGCTTAGAAGCAGTGAGGTGGCAATGGGATGGGCGCGGGGAGGCCAGCTGTGAAACATCGCTCTGGCCTTGTGGTAAATAAAGGAAGTTTAGGGCAATGCAATGAGAAAAGTGTTGGAATGCAATTTATCCTGAAAAGTATTGAGAGATGGTTCTGGCTGAGAAGGAAACACCTGCGTGTCAGTGTCCACAAGCACAGCCAGCCCCGAGTGCCACTGAGGGTGCATACACTGGGCAGTGGCAAGAGGCCAGCGCAGTGCTGGGCTTTAGGCCTTGGAAATGCCGAGCAGTGGTTTTTCACCCTCCTCATTCTTATTCCTGTGAACAGATTTTTGTTTGCCATACCCACATCATCATATACCAGGCCAACATACAGATTTGGGCAAAGTTATGAAGCTGGTGGTCACAGAATCACAGAATCACAACAGAATCACAGAACGTTAGGGATTGGAAGGGACCTCAAAAGAGGGGTTGTTTCTGCCCAGATGCAGGACTCTGGTCCATGCATTTTCTCCCTTTTCTCTGCTCCTTCTCTGCTGGTGCCAATATTTCAGCGCAGCTGAGTCATTCCCACCAGAAGCTGTGGCGTGTGTGGCCATGCGGACCCAAGTGGCAGCCTGGGGACTGAGCCATTCCCTGTGAGACGTGGCCCAAGCCTCAGAGGTCACAGGTTCCTATGCATGAGTTTTGCTCAGCTTCTCATCTAGTTAAGACCAAACAACAGCACCTTCCTCCAGATCTGAACATAATTTGAGTTCTCAAGTACTCAGATCTGGCATTTGTTTCTCAGCTACCCCTGGCTTTGGGAGAGCTTTCTTTCCTTCCCATTTTTCTGATCTGTGATGTTGCCAACCACAAAATCAGCTAAAATAAAGTTGATGATCCTGATGCTGTTAGGAACAATCAATTTGGGGAAGCTGCCCATCAAGCAGTTTGGAATCAGTGCATTGATCAGTGCACTCCCTTCAGATTATTTTTAAGCTCTGTTGCTCCAGTTTGCATGTTTCTGGATAGCAAAGAGAGAAGGTAAAGAAATCTCAGGTTTGTGTTTAAATGATTCCCAGAGTTTGCTGAGAAGGTCTACACAGCACAGTGTGGGATGAAAGCTATTTTTGACAGACTGCTGGATGCTGCAGAGCTAAATAACCAGTGCAAAGTGCAGGCATTTGGTATTTGAACTGGCTCGTTCAGACTGAGTGTGGAAATTTCTATCTAGGACAATGTAGTAGAGCTTTCCCATGGTAAAGTGAACATGTGGCAGCTGGATCTCCAAGTCTCTATACCATGGTAGTAGTAGAACATCAGCATCTGAAAGTCTTTCCTTCCTTAAAAAATGGTGATAATTGAGGCCACTTCTTTACTTTACCTTCTACAGTGGACTTTTCTGTGAAACTCCTCCACCAATGGTTCTGCTCCAGACAAGCCCATGCGATAACTATGAGTGCCAGAATGGGGCCCAGTGCATCGTCACACACCACGAGCCTGTCTGCCGCTGCCTCGCTAGCTTTGCTGGGCAGAAGTGCGAGAAGCTCATCACAGTCAACTTTGTTGGGAAGGATTCCTACGTGGAGCTGCCCTCAGTCAAAATTCGCCCTCAGGCAAACATTTCACTGCAGGTAAGTCGCACAGAACATCTGTTGCCAGCCTAGTGCTCTTCTAAGCAACAACACATATACATGTATATTTTTTTTTGTTCCAAAGGAACAGAGTCTATTGGCCCAGATGCTGACAAAGTTAGAGGCAACTTGTGAGCCAGTCATCTACTCTAGAAGTATTGAAACGTGAAGGAGGAACTGAGCAGCACTGTACCTTTGTGGGCACACACCCTGCCTTCAGAGTCTCAACACCTCCTTACTCCTAGACTGGCAATGTAGCCAGAGATTATTCTGCAAACCTCCCAGTCTTCTTACTGATCTACAGCATTGTGTTTCATCCTGTAGAAATCAGTGCTTAATATTAGGACACATATTTTAAAAGGCTGCTCTAAATGGCCTTTCCAGACAGTCTTTTGCTGATTCTTCTACTGTGCACATTCAGTAGATAGAAGGCGTGGGATTTTGTTACAGTCCTGTTGGTACACCTACATTTGGTTTGAGGTCTAAGGTTCAGAAGACAATGGAAAAGATGCCAAATGTGCCATGCCACTGCTGTCATCTTTGTGGTGGTGGATCAAAGGTATTTCAGATACTTAGTCCAATATGATATTTAAGTGATTTGGAAGTTATTTGCATTCACAGTGTAGTAGGCATTAAGCTGATCTCCCCACCCCCCGCCCCCCAATATCCTAAAGTAAATGAGTGAATGATTTCCGGCTTTATACATTTTCTAACATTGAGATGTGTGAAGCACATATATGACATACAGGCCACTGATAGTTAATCTGGACTATTTCTATGCTAGATTCACCCTGGAAATGAAGCATAACATTTCAAAAGATGTGAGAAGAAAAATAATTTCTGTATGTTTATTTTGTTGTATTTATTTTCTCAGTTTTAAAGAGATTATATTCCCCAGTTGGAAATCATATTCGAGACTTACTTGATGGAGTTTGTTTGCAATTAAAATACTAATGTCAAGACATGGGAAAAAGGACCGAATTTCCAGAACGTTAGGGATTGGAAGGGACCTCAAAAGCTCATCCAGTCCAATCCCCCTGCCGGAGAAGGAACACCCAGATGAGGTTACACAGGAAGGCGTCCAGGCGGGTTTTGAATGTCTCCAGAGAAGGAGACTCCACAACCTCTCTGGGCAGCCTGGTCCAGTGCTCTGTTACCCTCACTGAGAAGAAGTTTCTTCTCAAATTTAAGTGGAACCTCCTGTGTTCCAGTTTGTTTTTGTTATTTTTTTTTTAAAGGTAGTTCCTGCAAAGTTTATTCTAATGAAAAAAATCCATAATTAATATTTATCTTTTCTTTAATATCTTGAGTATACAGTTCATTTGAAAATGAAGCTGATTTATCTATATTTGAAACCAAAGTTTTTCTTCGAAATTCCCTTTTATTTAGTGTCTCAGAAGAGATTCTAAGATATGAGCACTCTAAAATATGGCTCCTCAAAAGTTCCAAATACTACAGGTCAACTTTAATGCTGAAAATCTTAAGTGTGCAAAACACATTACATCAGCCATGGCTTGAAGAATAAAACTGATTATTACAGAAATCACATGCAGATAATGTTCTCACTTCTTTTTTACCAGGCTGAATATTATTCTTCCATCCAGCCATTAATCACTAGTGAATTAAATTTAGAGTACATTGATTATTAAGAACATATAGAGGAAATCTTATTTAAAAGTGCTCAAGAAAAAAAAAAGGGCAAAAGGTTAGTACTTAAATATACATATAAAATGGAAACAGATTTTTAAAAGGTACTGTTTAGTTTTGGCATTTAATGCCCATTATAAAAAAATAAGCAAGAAATCTCAAGAAATATGTACTGTGAAAATAACTGTATCCAAAAATCCCATTCTGTCCCTTTTTTATTTTTTTTCCCTTTTGAACTATAGGGATATTTAGAGCTGGTAACTGGGAAAGTTAAGTCCTTGTTTTCTGATTCAGTGCTGACATTTTTTTTCCCTTGATGTACATCAAAGCTAGAGGGATGAGGGCTACCCTGTTCTTTCCGACTCTCTAAATGTCCCATTTGAACTCCACATGACTGGCTAATAACTTGAGTTGGGTGAAGAACTCAATGTCTGGAGAACAGGCCTTATGAGGAACGGCTGAGGGAACTGGGCTTGTTTAGCCTGGAGAAGAGAAGGCTGAGGGGAGACCTCATCACCACCTACAACTACCTAAAGGGAGGTTGTAGAGAGGTGGGTGCTGGTCTTTTCTCCCAGGTGATGGAGGATAGAACAAGGGGAGATAGACGGCACCAAGCTGTGCCAAGGGAGATTCAGGTTAGAGATAAGGAGGAAGTTCTTTACTGAGAGGGTCGTCAGAGGCTGGCACAGGCTGCCCAGGGAGGTGGTGGAGTCACCATCCCTGGATGTATTTAAAGAGCGGGTAGACGAGGTACTTAAGGATATGGTTTAGGGGGTAGACAGGAACGGTTGGACGTGATGATCTCAGAGGTCTTTTCCAACCGAGCGATTCTGTGATTCTGTGAACTCCAGGTTATCCTGAGTGTGGAGACAGGTCCTTCTTTGTGCTCAGATCAGAACCTGCTGAAACGTGTTTGCTTATAATTGTGACACATTTCTTCTACTGCCAGAGCTGATGTTCTAAACCTCCACTTCAAACTGGGGTAGTAGCTGAGAAATAAATTCATGTGTCACCAAAAATATAGCAACAGTCTATTGACAGGGATCAAATAAACTGCAGCTTTCACCTCCTGAAAACCAGTTCTCATTTGAAACATGGGAGCTATCCCTTAGTGGGACACCAACCTGTTTGTGTATGAGCCCACTCAGTGGTACCAAGACCTTTTTGTGCCTCATGGCTCTTGCTCTCATTGTTCATATATATGATTTATTAAATCATATTGCATGTATGATTTTGGTATGATTTTTAATATAGCTTTATTTCTTTTTTAATCATTCTCAAGCAACCCGCACTGCAAATACTGTGTTCAGTTTTGGGCAAGAAAGACATTGAGGCACTGGAGCATGTCCAGAGAAGGGCAACGAAGCTGGTGAAGGGTCTGGAGCACAAGAATTATGGGGAGTGGCTGAGGGAATTGGCGAGGTTCAGCCTGGAGAAGAGGAGACTGAGGGGAGACCTTATTGCCCTCTACAGCTTCCTGAAAGGACAGGGTAGCAAGGTGGGGGTCAGCCTCTTCTCCCAAGTAACAAGGGATAGAACAAGAGGAAATGCCCTCAGGTTGTGCCAGAAGAGGGTTAGATTGGATATGAGGAAAAGTTTTTTCACCAAAAGGGTTGTCAAGCACTGGGACAGGCTGCCAGGGAAAGTGGTGGAGTCACCATCCATGGAGGGATTTAAAAGACATGGAGATGTGGTGCTTAGGGACGTGGTTTAGTGGTGGAATTGGCAGTGCTAGGTTACCAGTTGAACTCGATTATCTTAAAGGTCTTTTCCAACCTAAATGATTCTCTTATTCTGTAACCTTACCTGCTTACTAATGTTTCACAGGTAGCAACGGACAAGGACAATGGCATCTTATTATACAAGGGAGACAATGATCCCTTGGCTCTGGAGCTGTACCAAGGACATGTGAGGCTCATCTACGACACGCTGAATTCTCCGCCTACCACAGTATACAGGTAGCTAAGCTTTACCAGAACAGTTGATTTCCAAAAATTATGGAAAGGTAGGATTTTTCTAAGAGATGTGTATGGGAGAAGAACCTTTTCTTTTACTTCAGTATATCTCATTTATGTATGTAATAAGAAAAGAAATTGAGAATAAGGCTTAGCTAGAGGCAGCATGGTTAAAAAAATGGCATTTATTGGCAATTGATACCGTGTCCTATTATGATTGCAGGAAAATGTTGTGTTTTCTCATCTACTGTAAAGATTTAATTTCTGCTGAATGTTGTCCTTGAAATAGTTGCAAGTAAGTAGTTTCTTTGGTGTTGATATTTAACATTAATTTGCTGTTCCAAGACAGAACAGTGACTATGCAACTGCAGGATTAGATTGTGTCACATAGGAGGAGAAGGGCTGAATTCCTCTATAGGGTGAATATTTTTAGAGGAACTCTTACCTGTATCAGTAGTAACTCCACAAACCATGAAAAAGCACAAATTACAAAGGTAGATTGTAGGGCAGTTTGACCTTCAGACATTTTTGGGGATACCAAATCCACAGGTTTTGTTCATTAGTCACAAGAAAGAAAACACAGAGCCGCAAAGATGATTGAGGGAGTGGAGCATCTCCCTTGTGAGGAGCGGCTGAGGGAGCTGGGTCTCTTTAGCTTGGAGCAGAGGAGACTGAGGGGTGACCTCATTCATGGGGATCAATTTGGAAAGGGCGAGTGTCAGGAGGAAGGAGCCAGGCTCTGCTCTGTGATGTCCAATGACAGCACAAGGGGCAATGGGAGCAAGCTGGAGCACAGGAGGTTCAAGCTGAACATGAGGAAAAACTTTTTTACTGTAAGGGTTACAGAGCCCTGGCTCAGGCTGCCCAGAGAGGTTGTGGAGTCTCCTGCAGGGGACTGCAGACATCCAAAACCCGCCTGGACGCGTTCCTGTGTGACCTGGTCTGGTGATCCTCCTCTGGCAGAGGTTGGACTGGATGAGCTTTTGAGGTCCCTTCCAACTCCTAACGTTCTGTGATTCTGTGAAAAGCAAACATAAAAATAAAACCCATGCAGAGAGGCGTTTCTCTAGGAAAGAGAGATGTCCCACCATTCTTTAGCAACCCTCTCCCTGAGTTAACTCCCTTTGGATTATTTTTAAGCCCTGTTGCTCTAGTTTGTTCTGTATAAACATGCGGTTTTTACCACATGGAGCCTTTTTGGGTTCAGCACAGTTTCATGGCAGTGTATGTGCAGAAGAGCTGGATTTCCCAGCCCACTTGGCTCTGTAAGGAAGAGCATCCTATCGGAATGGCTAAAAGGCTGCCACCATGTATCATTAGCCAGGACGGGCTTTTCTGGAAAGTTTTCTCAGCACTTGATAAAACTTGAGGCTTCCAGGAGCATCATAGCCATGCAGAGCTTTCTTTAGGGAAAATGGTGACTTGTTTAAGGAAATGAGAACATTCTTCCTGTATAAAAGCAAATTGGATAATACCTATGCAGGGATGTCACCAGGAAGAGCAACGGCTTGTCCTCTGTCGGAATGAAGAAAGTAGGTAGTGATTTTCACCAGCTGGGTGGGTAGGTGTGAAAAATTTCTCTGTGTGTGGCTGTTAATCCTAATTGATTTCATGTTAGAGCAAAGCTGAAGTTGGTAATTAGTTGGTGTTTTACACCACTAATTAGAACATAGGGAAAAGCTGTGTGGGCAGCAGAGGGGGTGACAGATCGGTGTGGATGCTTGCTTGCTTTCCTTTGTCAAGGGCAGAACGGGGTGGTGACAAGAGCTGTTGCCACTATCACAACAACATGGATCTGCTGCCTTCTGTCAAAGTTGCCAGAGATGGGGAGTGGCAGTGTCCTGGTTATCTCTTCATATTGATCAAGGAGGAGGTCTCCATTCAGACCGACACCTCATTACCATAAGATTAATGGCTTGTTCACTACATTTTGTACTGCATGATGGGAAAGAAGCTGCTTAATACAATGCCCTTTCCGAAATGTCACTCTAATCTTTTATTAGTTTAAGGAGTGGAGCAAAATCAGATTAGCATGGGAAAAGATTAAGAAAAACTGCAGCTAAAGAACGTCAAAAAGGGCCTCTAAATAGATTAAAAGACATGTTTTCCTTAAGGGTGGAGGAAGGGGGAGGAAACCTGCTTTTCTCCTTACATCGGATTTAAGGGTAGAAGGCATGAGTGGATCTGGTTTGACCTTCTTATGTGTCCTGTTTGACTTTTAGCTACGGTGTAAGCTCTGTTTGGCTAAGACATGACTTCTAGCTTGGCACTGGGTTCTGAGAGGAAAACACCAAATAATGGAAACTCCCATATTTCCTTTAGTAGCTTGGACAATGGTCACTAATTTCCAGTATTCAGGTACTAGCCATCATTTCCAAGTTGTGTTGCTAATACCTTCTGGATGTTTTAGAGGCTTTCTCCAGGGAGATGAAAGTCCTTTTATACCTGGTACTGGCTCCCATGAGTTTATCCCTACTTTTGTACAGATTGTGTTGTCTTCTAACTTGCAGTTTGATTAAATGAATAGCTGATTCAGTGTGATGAATTTTATCTAAACCTTAAGAATTTGGGGAACTATTTTCTGCAACCTCTACAATTTTTCATTTTTCATTAAAAAGAAGGTTACTAGGAGAACCTGAAACATTGAAATCTTAGCCTTGCCACTGGTAAAACAGTTTGTCTATTGCCTACTTCTTGCTGTTTTGTTTAGATGCCTTGTTTAAATCGCAATCCCAGCAAAAGTGGACTGTTTGCCTCTGAGAACCTCTGCTGAAATACTATGACTTGAATTTTCAGAGGCAGTAACAGGTGCTGCTATCCTCTAAAGGGGTCCAACTTCTTGGAAGAGATGAGCAGTACTTTGTCTCTTGTTTTTGCTCAGAAGAGTCTGCCAAAAGAGGAGGAGGCCTTAAAATACGGCCTGGTGGAAACTGAGCCACATACAGCTGCAGGAAATCTGCAACTGACCTAGTCCTGTGTTGTGACTGTGACATTTTGCTGGTTGTTCCAGGTACTCCCATGATGGGATGTGGGAAGTCGCTGGCAAGCCACCTTATCTGTAATTCTCCATCAGAGATTATTATAAGATTATAAGATTATTAATTATAAGATTTATTAATAGAACAGTAAAATTAGCAAAGTGCTTGGCTAATAAAGGTAATATTCTGTAGGGATAAGATAAAACCTGTTGTCAGACAGGTTTGGGAGCCAGCAGCAAGTAAGGCAGCAAGGTGGTAGTGTACAGGAGCATTCAGCAGGCGGGTGCTGAATGGATGAAGGACGCCATGTGTCACATTGCAAAACTCTTCCCCAGCCCCTTAGTGTACAGCTGGGGTGTAGGTTTGTACCAGACACAGAGGGTGTGTGCTTTGAACTCCCTGGGGTGGTGTCTTAGTGATTCATTTGAGCACATCAAAGCAGAACTGCAGCCCAAAGTTAGTCTGGAAAAGCACAAGATTAACTCGCTGTACTTTCAGATTTGCTTTACATCTGTTCATTCTGATGGTATGTTTGGATAGAAAGGTTAAAGCTGACATTGGACTTTTCCTTCATTCTCGTCAGATGAAGGTCAGCAAATGTCCAATGGGAAAGACCACCTAAAATACATTTTCATTTATCATCAAGTTAGAAAGAAATACAAGTTAATGCATGAATATGCAATGATTGAACTTGCCCTTTCAAAAGAAAAGCTGACTGGTCTGGTTTTGAACTCATTTGAAAGCTGCAGAATAACTGTTTCCTAGGTGTCATAGTGAACATCCCATAAAAGATTTATTCTTGAAGTAGAATTCCTACTTCTTGTTTCCTTTCTTCTATTTGATTATTCTGTAGATGCACAAATGAGAATAGAAAACTGAGTGCTTTATTGTCCTCCTGTTTTCTGCACTGGTGAGAATTACTCTTCCGTCCCATGACAGTACTTAGTACTGACCTAACACTGAGGTCTTGAAATAAAGTGAATCTTGTACACAAATGCCCTACCTTAACTTAAGGATACCAAGTGATGAGGAATGTGCTGCTTTTATTTACCACTATGTTCCAATTGTTAAAGGTTTCAATTAACAAAGACCATGTAATCCTGTAGTTTCAGCATTGATACTGGTATCTGTTTAACTGTATTCCTGTTTTCAGTCTTTTTTCCTACATCTGTTCCTTGAACCAGAGATGAGACCTTACATGTAAGTTGTTTGTTTTTTTTTCTGATAGGTTTTATGCTACTACACGGTCATGTTGATTTGGATGCTAAATTAATCCTTCCTAATAGAAATGGAAAATTGAAACTTGACACAAACTACTAATGTAATTCCCTCTAGAGTTCCCAGATTGCCATGTTGCATACAGACTGTCATATCTGGTGAAGAGCAAGATGCAGACATCATTGGTTTAAAATCATGTTTTCATGACAGCAGTGAAAAAAAGAGGCATTTAGAAAAATATAAGAATTAATTGTATTTGTCTTACTGCAGAGCTTACACCCAAATTACATTTTAATTCCTTTTAAAAGTATCCATACTTAATTTTTCAAAAATGTTCCATCATTTAAAAATGTTTCTTACAGATTGTATCATGCAGTTCTCATGGTCCAGCTAATTCTTACGTAGCATAGATGGATGTTCTTGTGGTTAAAGCAAAAAGCCTGAAACAAGGGAGCTTAAATTCTTGCTGTTTCTGCCTCTGCCCAAAAGGAATCGATGTGGTCGAACACTCTGAGCTCAACCTCCAGTCAGTCACTTCACTGCGTACTGGCCCCGTGCAGCTCCTCTCTCTCCTGCCTGGGACTGGACACTTCAGAGTGTCCAGACACTTCACTTCCACCTACAGATGAAAAGCAAATCCTTCACAGTTACGATGTTTTACTTTGCAGTGGAAAGTGTTGACCATTCGAAAGTATTTTCAAGAGCATCAAGAAGGAAGATGTTTGCTCTTGAAAGCCTGCTGAGCTCTAGAAGTAGCTCAGTGCCTTGCAGGTACTTCTTGGTTTTCATGTTCCAGTAGTCTTGGGT